AGGTTCAGTACCACCTGATGCTGCACATCCAGATGCAGCTGTGCGAGCTCTCTCTGTGGGACTGGATCGTGGAGAGGAACCGGCGGGTTAGGGAGTGTGTGGACGAGTCTGCCTGTAAGTACCCTGGGGCTCTACAGGTGCGGGACTGGTCTTTCTCCCCAAAACCCATAGCCCTAGCTAATCATGAGAAAAGACAGGAGGATCTGCCATCTTCCACCTCCAGGTGCTTTAGATGGGAAAAAAAAATCACTGTTTTAAACCAAAGAAGTAATTATGCTTATTTCAACATTTTTCAAAAATAATTGGAAGTTAATTTTCTCTGTGATACATACACAGTTTGTTGATATTTAAGCAGTAATGTGCTAGAATTTAGGTAAATGATTTTGGGTGGAAAAGATCTTTTAAAATTAAGGAAAAAACTTAAATGCTTATTTGATTTTTTTTAACCTGAAAATGTGATACTCTTACAAAAATAAACCTTTAAAGAAACCCTTACAGGAAGGCATGTAGTAAGAAGTTTGTCTCCCTCAAATTCCAGGTCCCCCTCCCTCCCCTGCAGTTGTATGTCTTCTAGAAATACTGTCAGGTTAATATTTTTAAAATATTATAACAGTAGTTTTCTACCTGAACTGCACATTGGAATCACTTGGGAAACTTTTAAAAAGATGTCAGTAAAAAAGAACTTTACAGTGACCACCACCTCAGTGATCAAGGCCAGGGTCAGCAGTGAGAATTCACGTTGATAGTATGTGCCCTTGATAAGATGCAATGAGAGGACACTGTATCTCTGGTCTTTTTCCCCAAAACCCATAGCCCCAGCTAATCATGAGAAAAACATCAAACAAGTTCTAGTTGAGGGACATTCTACAAAATACCTGACCAGTACTTCTCAGAACTGCCAAGCTTATCATAAACAGGAAAAGTCTGAGAAACTGTCACAGACCAGAGGAGTCTCAGGAGACATGACAACTATATGTAGTGTGGTATCTAGTTAGAACCCTGAAACAGAAACAGGACACAGGTAAAAACTATGGAGATCTGAATAAACTGTGGACTTGTATCAAAATTGGTGCATTCATTATGACTGATGTATCATATTGGAAAGCCCTCCTTGCTTTTCTACCCAGACAGGAGGTTGATCACTTCGGTGTGAGGGGGAGTCGTGGTAGAGGTACCTTTAGTGGAACCAGAGCTTTTACACACACGCGTGTGCGTGCACACATACACACAGGTCCCTAACTTGTATGCTAGGTAGTGTACAGGAGAGTACGGAACAGGTGTGAGCTGTTGATGACAAAGTGGGCTCATGCAGGTGGAGAAGGGGGCATGCAGTGTTACTGTGCTGGAAGGTCAGCAGTAGGTGATGGCTAACATCACTGAGTGCAGAGGAGCCGGGAAGCTCTCACTGTTACTAAACTTAAGTGGCTGGAAAACGGCAGGGAGTTTTCTTTATCAGTTTTCATTTGTTTTATTCTTACAAACCTCTCCACCCACGAATTCACGTACTCTGTCATCATATTAACAGATGAATGCATTGATTTTCTTTTTCCCAGTATACTTCACTTGTCATTTTTGGAAAATGGGCTTTGCAGATCTTCCGGGATGAAGCTCACCCCTTGGGCTAATGTAACTCACCCTTTTTCTCACTCCACTATTTGTAATAGGACCTTCAGTCCACGGTGGGCCCGGATATCAGATTTATTAGCATTAAACTCTAGGATGTCGGGGGTTGAAGGAGACTTAAACATGATTTAATCTAGCCACCTGGTGCCTGGGAATTGTTTACTGAGTAATTACCACGGGGGCACTGAGTGAAATGAGAGGTCTCTTTCTGCTGACACTTCATCAACGCTGGGTGCTAGTTTGCGATGGTGTCTTTACTAGCTGAGGAGCCCTCCCTGGTAATTCCTAGGTTTGAACCATTTTTGGAGTGCTGTTGAAAATCTGAATCTTGTGTAGATGTCCGATGTTAATGTATTTAGAACTATAGCCAACATTTAACATTTAGATGTTAATGAGTAAAAAAAAATTAGAGAATAATAAAACTTTTTTTTAACTTCAGGTCCATATGTTATGACCAGTGTTGCAACAAAAATTTTTCAAGAATTGGTGGAAGGTGTATTTTACATACATAACATGGGGATTGTGCACAGGGACCTGAAGGTAAGTGAAGAAGATGAAATTATTGAAAGCTCCTTATCGGGGATGACTTGGTGTTGGGTCATTGAATTAAAGGGATTAGGTATCCTGGTTCATTTATTTAGAAGGGTGCCATTACTTTCATGTAATTCATCATTTTATAGGTCTAGAACATGAAAGCTTTAGATTGAACTTAAAAGCAGTAAATCTTGGGCATTTGAATATTCTCACTGTTTTTCAGGTAGTAAGTGTGCTCTGAGTACTGCTGTAATTGATGATGCTAATTGTATTTAATGCTGACAGAAATACTCATGTATTAGTTCAATCTGTTTCTGTAATTATCTGTCTTAAAGGAAATTTAACATAGGAAATTTCGTTCTGCTGTTTTCAAAATCTGTAATGACTATTCCAATTTTTATCCACAAAACACTATCAAGAAAGAAAATACATTTACTTCTTCGGCTGAGAGTTTTACATTAACTTGCTTACCTTTTGGGCAAAAATTAATTAATGGAAAATGCATTTAAAAGAATACTTAGGAACTAAAAAGGTAATATGCAAATCATTTTATTTTTTGAAGAAGTTTAACAACCAGTCGTTTGTACGATTGGGATGGATGAGGCAATGGGTTAAGTATTTTCTGGGTAAGTGTCTAGCCAGAAAACGTGATTGGAGTTACTGGAACCCTGGCACTGTGATACTGTGAGGTCTTATTTCAGAAGGCAAGCCAGGTCGTAATACCCGTACACAGAACTCCATACTTTCTCCGGGAGAAGCTGCTTCACGTGCTGTTTGTACCTCTCACCATAAATATTTCTGATGTTTCTTTTACAGATATCCTCTAGGGATAAGGGTTTTTGAGATAACTTTATTAGGGATTCCCTTAAGAGGTGGAATTCTGATAGCGTGAGTCCTGCAGGTAGATTTCCTTGGTTGTTGGTCAGTCTCAAAGGGTAAGAGCGGTAAAGCAACTTCGCAAGAAGTGCCGTGTCTCTTATATTGGAACTGCGCTGGAGGTACATGTGTATGGGAGATTCCCCATTTCTTGTTAAGATGTTAATGTTGGCTTCAAATTCAAGCAGGAGATCAATTACTGTCTCTCTGCCTGCGAAACATGCCTCGTGGATAGCTGTTTGGCCCTTGTGGTCTTGGGTATTGACTTCGGCTCCATGAATCAGCAGCAGACGGATGCAGCTCAGCCCCACTGCCAGCACTCGGCCCGCCTTGCTGGAGGCGGCGCACACTGCCAGCTTCAGGGCCGTGTTCCCCGTGAAAGGGACAGCGTAGTTGACGTTTGCTCCACAGGCAATGAGTGTTTCCATCATCTCCTTGTTCAGTATGTCTGCAGCCATGTGAAGGGGCGTCATGCTGGATTCATTTATAGCATTGACCTGGGCACCGTTTTGGGCTAAAATGGAGAGGACCGGGTAGGTCCCGTACCTTATGGCCAGGTGGAGGGCGGAATGCTTGTGGCTGTTGTTCACCCGAGCGTTCACCTGAGCTCCATGCTCACACAGGATGCGGAGGCACGTCACGGCATTATTCTGAATGTCTGCCAGGAGCCTTTGGATTCTGTTTCCTGGCTTTGTCTGCACGGTAGAGGTGATCGGCCAGTGCAGCAGCATCAGGTGGAGTGTGGTGAGGCCTCTTGTGTCCCTGGAATAGATAGTGAGCTCTAGTTACACTGAATTCACAGTGGGAATGACTTTGTGCAGGGAATTAATGCTAAAGAAGGTGACATTTATTTAAAGTAATCCCCCCTTAATTAGTTCAAGAGTGTTTGAAAATCTGCATTGCTGTTTAATGTCTCAGGATGTCAGTGTTTTGCGGGGGTGGGGGGACATGACAGAGTGGTTTGTATGGAGAGGCGCAGCTTCCTCTAGCAGCTTGTGAGGGCTGTGGCCTCTTCAAGGCTGTGTCTTAGTCTTTTTTGTACTTCAGCTCCTCACAGGGCTGAGCTGAGTTAGCAGCCATTCAGTAGAATTCTGTGGACTTGAGTGCGATCTGGTGTTACCATAGAGGTGGGCTGCAGAGGGCCAGGCTCTGGGGACTCTGGCTCTGCATCTGCCCCTGAGCCTGACGCTTCCCCTGCATGAGTAGGTGGATTAGGTGATGGGATGGAATCTGGAGACCCACAGCCACTCTGCGCTTAGTGAGGCCCATCCGTCTTCATTCCCTATTTCCATCCAGGTGGATGCGTGTTTCACAACTTCACCCTCATCTACTTTTTTTCTGAAGTCTCAGGATTGCCTCCAAAATGCCTTTGTTTTGGCAGAGAAAAGGGGAAGGATTGTTATGAACATCTGACTGCTCCCTGAAATTAGAAAAGGATTCTCAGTTCACATGTATTTGTTCAGTGTGAGGCCCGGGCGAGGGCTGTGGTGACACAGCAGGCAGTCCCTACCTTTTGGCCTTACAGCCTAGTATGGAAGACACGGCCCATGTTTAAACAGCTAGGTAAAGGTGCAAGTGCGCTGAGTTCTAGAAAGCCTGGTCAGGGATGGAAAGAGTAGGAAAGGGTGTACGAGGAGTCCCTGAGGAGCATGGGTGAGTTTGTGATGGTCTGTCCAGTCCTCAAAAGACTTCGATAGACCTGCCAGGCTGAGGTGGGGTGCTCTGGGGTGAGTTGGGGCGGGGGAGAGCAAGGTGGGCTCTTCTGGAGCATAGTGGATTTAGGGTTTACCTTTTAATGTTGTGGGGGAAGCAGTTGTATTATTTTTCTACCATGTAATTCTCCCATTCATTCAGATGCTATTTACTGGGCACTTCCTAAGTGTCAGGCATCGGTTTAGGTGGTGAATATACATTGGTGAGCAAGAGACACTTTTCTTTTAGGAAGCATACCTTCTAGTGGAGGGTAATAAAGAAAACCCATTGCATGGTAATATTGTTTTTCATATCTAGCGGGTTTTAAACCCCCTGAGGTGAGGGCTGTGAGCAGGACTTAACAGATCTTCCGCATTACCTGTTTTGAGCACAGTGCTTGGGATGCTCTAAGTGGGCTGACTGATTTGTGTTCTTGTATTTTCCCACTTTTCCAGAGCATCTCCTCTAATCAGTGAAGAAATTGGGTCATTCAAAACATGATAATTTCTAGTCCACAACCCCTGGTGATTGGATGAGTCCAGACAGGACTGGGAAAACTAACATCCCAATCACAGTATCCTCATTTAGAAAAGGCCCCTGTTGAGTTACTTACCTTACTTCCGGGTCAGCACCATGCTCTAACAGACAGTGCAAGCTGTGTGCCTTGCGGTGCTCGGCGGCCAGGTGAATGGGGATGATGGACTGCGTCTGCTTCAGGGGGAAAAACCCAAGCGCATTACAAGTATCCTATGTAGTTAGAAATAACATGGTGTTAGCTTGCCATTCCAAAGGAAACCTGGTTTATGCATCTCAGTTCAGTACTTTTCTGGTATGTACATTGACATTTCCCTTCTCTTTGGCCTGTTTTAAACGACAAAGCCTCCCGCCGGGCGTGGCTCAGCAGTTGAGCATCGACCTAGGATCTAGGAGATTGAGGATCGATTCCCAGTCAGCGCACATGCCCAGGTTTCGGGCTTGATCCCCAGTAGGGGGCGTGCAGGAGGCAGCTGATAATGACTCGTCATTGATGTTTCTGTCTCCCTCTCCTTTCCTCTCTCTGAAGTCAACAGATACATATTTAAAAAAATAAATGACCCAAAGCCAGTGAATTTTATATTATAAAATCTGTGTGTTAAAGAAAGGCAAATTTACCAAGGCAGCAGAATAACTCAAAGCTTTGAAAGTTGTTTCTTGTGAGGAGCTCGTAGTGTAAAATTAGTGGCTATTGCTATTAAGCTACTTAGTCCTTAACTTAACCTGCAGGGTGATTGACAAGTAGGTTTTGTGTTTTTTAAGGTTTTGCCAAAGTCATAGTATCAATAGTAAAACCTACACTAGTAGGGTTTCAGAGATAAGCAGCAAATATTCTTTGATTAGCAGAGTTGTTTATTCTGGTTCTTAAAAACATGTGTAACTAGTGGCTTTACAGTGTGGCTACAAGATAAGAGGGCGGGGTAGATAGGAGAGGGCCACTTTTCAAAAGAAAATTCGTTATAAAGGCAATAATCATTGTATAAAAATACAGAAAATGAAAAAGTGTTTGTGAAAACGGAAGAAAATAATCCCATCACACATACATAATGGCCACTGGTATGTGTGAGGGAGACATTAATGTTCCTCCAACCAAATGAGCTCTAGTCTTTCCCACATCAGTATGATAACTGGAAGGGAGGTGTCATGCTGCTCTGGACGTGGAGTGTGCCTGGAATATAATGTCCCTCCTTGGGCATGGTGGGGACAGCCAGGAGGTTTAATGAGTTCACAAGTACTCAGTGGTGGTCCTAAAGCATCACGAGTCTTAAAAGAGGGTACCTGGGTCAGAAGTAATCCACAGCTGGTGGAGTTGGCCAGAACCGTCAGGGGCTGATTGACGGGGTGGCTTCGTAGGAGGGCCTGGATTGCAGTGCAGTCTTCTGTCATTATGGCTTCATAGAGTTTGGCATGGAGCGTGTCACATGAGCTCTCTTCCAGTGACTTGGCCCCATCAGTGACCAGCTCCTTGCTGCCTCTCTTGACTATGTTTCCCATGAGAAACACTTATGAGTGAGGACCTAAGAGGTCAGGGGAAACTCGTTTCGGAATTGGTCAGTTTCCGTGTCTCTATGATTCCTTTAGGTCAGTTCTAGAACTGTTCTAGAATTGTTGGGAACCGTTTCCATGACCACCATCAGTTTTGTATTAGAGCCAAACTTTCTCAAACTCTGTTCCTATATCACATGGTGTCAAATATAAGCAGGTGTTAGGACTTTCTCCTTGATCACAAAAGCATATCCAAATTATCATCTTACACGTAAGATTCTATTTTCCCTTTTCATTCAGTTATAGATAAAAAAACAAACAAAGCTAAAATAAATTTATACATTAAAATAAAAAGTTAATATCACTATATTTAAAATATGAAAACCCAGCTTTTAACCTAAATGTTTAGGTTAAACACTGCCTCCCCCATACAGGTGCAGTGTTTCACTGGCATAGAAGCGGTTCCACTGGAAGACCTTTCGGGTCTGTGGTGGTTGCTTAAATAGAGCTAAGTGGGTACCTTTATGGTGTGATCTAGTTTTTCCCAACCCACTAACAGAATTCTCCGGGAGCTTTAAAAAAAAATTAAGTTTTTTCATTAAAAAAATCACAGTCTTTGACTTGTTGGAGGACAGTAATCTTTAAAAGCTTCTCGGGTGATTCTGGTGTCTGGCTTGGGTTGAGGAGCACTTGTGTGCAAGCACACTACACATTAGTGGTTCTCAGACTTGGAGGAATAACCTGGGGACCACCCCCAGGAACTTCAGTTTAATTGGTTTGGGGATGACGTGCACAGTGTGGCTTTTTTAAAGCTCCCTGGTGACTCTGATGTTTGGCCGAGTTTGAGAACCACTGCCCTGATTTTTAATTTTTCAGGGGCTACTTGCTTCTGAGTTTAAAACACTTTAACATCTAGACATTTTACTATTTCTTTCTAGAACACCAAGGAGTTGACTTGTTCTGTTTGTTTATAGCCCAGAAATATTTTTCTTCATGGCCCTGATCAGCAAGTGAAAATAGGAGACTTTGGTCTGGCCTGCGCAGACATCATACAGAATCCAGACTGGACCAGCAGTAATGGAAAGAGTAAGTTTTGGGCTGTTTTTTTTTTTTTTTCCCATTAAAAAAATAAGATGTCACTATTTAAAGAGAATTATGAAAATTTAATAGCACAGTGAGATACAGATAGAGCGTGCCATCGTTCCCTTGGGAGCTATAGCGCCCCCCCCCCCCAGCCAACATTCCTTCCTGTGTTGACGCTGCAGTGTGTAATATGCAGCTTTTCAATTACAGGGACACCGACACATACCTCCAGAGTGGGGACCTGTCTGTACGCGTCTCCCGAGCAGTTGGAAGGATCTGAGTATGATGCCAAGGTAAGCATCTCCTGCTTCGTATCTTTACTGGGCTTATTCTGTAGTTATAAGTAACAAAAAGGACAGTAAGTGCAGTGGAAGTTCCGGTTCGAGTTGATTTTGGAGGTAACAGTTCTATCTACATTGTCCAACGGCCAACACAGGAAGCCTCACTTTGCAGCTGGACCTGACTGCATTCATTTTAGGCTCCTCTACTATTTCCAAACCTGTGGGCATAACGAATAGTTTTTGAAATGAGCTTTCCCTTTAGAATGTCACCTTTCCCCCAGGAAGTGGGAACTCAAGAGGCCTCTTTTCAACCTCTCATTCTTCAGTTTTCGAGCTTAAATAAATGCTAAATAACGCTCAGGGCAGCGTGTCACTGGAGTCCCTTTCATCCATGTCATTCCTGGAAGGAACGGTAAGAAAATGCTTTTCTCCATGTGGAAGCCTAGTGCATTCATTTACTTCCTCTTGATGAGTTATTCAACTTTTTAGTGACTGGGAAAGAGCTGCCAGAAAAGAACTATGGCTGCTCCTAAAGTCCTGTCTCGTCAGGATCTTCCTAAAAACCATTTTCAGGGAGCTCACATCTCTGTCTCTACTGTGCCAGGCCTGGGTTTTAAAGGAGCAGTGGAGTCAGGTGTGTAGTGCAGACTGCTGTGGTGGTGCATCATTCTGCCCTCATGTGGCTATCAGTCCCTCTGCTGTGAGCCCTTTTGGTATTAAGGGATGAGCTTTGTGAGAGACCAGCCCGCCGCTGTGTTCCTTCGTAGTAGAGACTACGAATTGTCCGTTTTAGGAATGCTCTCGTATCAGGAGGACGGTGCGCTGATGTGGGACTGTGATGCTCACCTTGTCATCACTAAATGACCCTCCCCCCTCTTGCAGTCCGACATGTACAGCTTGGGTGTGATCCTGTTGGAGCTCTTCCAGCCTTTTGGAACAGAAATGGAGCGAGCGCGGGTCCTAACTGGTTTGAGAACTGGTCAGATACCCGAGTCCCTCAGTCAGAGGTGTCCCGTCCAAGCCAAGTGCATCCAGCAGCTAACCAGGAGGAACGCATCCCAGAGGCCGTCTGCCGTGCAGCTGCTGCAGAGCGAGCTTTTCCAAAATTCCGGAAGGGTATGTACAGGTTTTTTAATGCTGGGGAAAATAGGAAGCTTAGAATTTGTTTAAATTGTGAGTCCTATTTCATGAACTGTAGAGCTCACAGTAAGATTTATGGAAACAAAATATTTGAACCCATTCTCAGGGTTCCCAGTAGCACACAGTTTGTACAGTCCAAGTTCCCAAGGTGACCACTGCCAGCTGCTGCTCTAAATGTAATTATGGGCTCCAGCTTCTAGCCTTATCTCACTAAGCCAAAACGTTTCAGTTTTCCTTTCCAAGTCTGGTATGTAATCTTTCATAAATGATTATAATGTGCCTACTAGTAAAAAGGGACACAGCAGAGGGTCAGACAGCAGTAATTCTTAGGGAGTGAGCGGGGGTGGCAGAGACCGCCTGAGTCAACCTGAGATCTTCAGCGTTCACATGCGATTCTGCTGTTCCATCCTGTGGCGCAGTTTTGCCCCGGGCAGCCATTCCCTTCCTCCTTTCTGACCTGTTAAGAGTGCCAGCCAGTCTCTAGTCTGCAAGTACTGGCAACATGACTCATCCGTTCTATTCCTTGAGAAACTTGCTGAGAGTTAAAAGCCTTATTCAAAGGCATGTTCACAGATCCTATAGACTTTTGCTACTCAAAGTGTGGTCCTTAGACCAGCAGCATCAGCAAAATCTGGGGCTTATTAGAAACACAGGATCTCAGGTTCCACCCCAGACCTGAGTCCAAGCAGCTTGCATGAGTGTGGTGGTTCTCAAACTGTCTCCCTCTTTCACTTGTCCATTTTTTAAAATGTCACTTGGGTCTATCACTGGGAGATAGGGAGGCAAGCACAGCTACACACATGCCTGTGTGTGAACTGACAGATGCACTAACCAACAGACTTCAAGTGAAGTGACGTGATTGGTCTGGATCAGGACGTGTGTGGGTTATGTAGTGTTTTGTGGACTAAATTGTGGTAACTGACACTTGAACTGTGTTGCTGGGTTACTGGCCTTATTTCACTAAACTGATAACTGGGATCCATGCATTTTTGGACTGTGAGGCATGCCTGTGTTTATTTCAAAGGAAAGAAGCCATTTTAATGGGGTTTAAAATTTTCTGTTTCAGGTTAATCTCACTCTGCAGATGAAGATACTAGAGCAGGAAAAAGAAATTGAAGAACTAAAGAGGCAGCTAAGCCGCCTCTCTCAGGACAGAGGGGTCAAGGAGGACACGAAAGACGGGGGTGTTCCCATTTAGCTTAATTAGGCTCCAGAAATACGAAAGTGGACTTCAACTCTTTAAGCTAAAGTCAACTGGAATGTATAGTTTCACTCTTTACCAGAGTATAGATGGTGAAATACTTAGTTGTAGTCAGTAAGCTTGTACATGGTTTATTAAAGAGAGGCTGCAGAAGTGCCCCCAACTGCTTTTTCCTTAGGAGAACTTTCCCAATCTAGCATTTGGAACTTGACTGCTCCAAATGACACCTGTTGTGCTCTTCCCCCTTTTCTGCCCCGAGCTCCTATTCCTGGATCGCTCAGTATTTGCCTAGTCTCTCAGACTAAAAGTTTACATGCCATCCTTCGTTCTTTTCTGAACTCTGCCTGCCGACCACCAGATCCTCCTGTAGAAGCGTCTACTGCAGAAATCACAGTGTGCCCTGCACCCTGTCACTACCCAGGCCCAGCTTGCGCATGTGCTGGACTGGTGGTTTCGACAGCTGCCACTTTTTCTGACCCTTTCACACGCTGCCAGTGAACTTCCAGAAGGACATCTCAGTTCACACCAGGCTCAGAAGCCTCTGCTGCCTCCAGCCCATTTCTGTTGGCATCACCTTCAACTTGGCAGCATTATGCCCTTTCAAAGCTCTGTGTTTCTTGCCCCAAAATGACCTCAGAGCAGCTCTGATGCCAGTGTCCTGACTCTTGCCCTCAGTTCTCCGTCACAGCCCAAGTCCCACCTTCCTCAAAGGCAGCCACGGGACATTCCTTTGTGTGCCCAAGAGCTGCCTGCCATGAAGCTGGCAGGTGTCCTGGTATATTGCACATGATACTGCTAAATTTTAATAAAAGAAAAACCACAATTATACAGCGCTTTTATTGATAATTGGCAACTGGCCTAAAGACTGTGTAGTACAAGTCCCTTTACCAACAACAGGCATGAAACAGCACCACTCTTAAAATCTAAACTCTTTAAAATCAGGCTCTGAGATTCACTTAATGAGCTTGAGGGCAGTGCTGAAGGGGGCCAGGTTCTCACAGGCCCTCATCCACTTCTGCACATTGGCAGGCACGGGCACACTGCAGCCTCCCGTCTGCTGGAGCACAGACCAGAGCACGACATCGGCCACTGTGAGTTCATTCCCCACGAGCCAGGGGCTCTTCCCGAGAGCAGAGTTCATGGAGCAGAACACGGAGGCCTTTTCTTTACTGCTTCCCTCTTTTAACTGAAAAATAGCTTTATCTACCCAGCTATCTATGAGGGTTAAATTGACCGCATTATGCTTCTGGCCGAACAGAGAGAACAGAAAACGTGCAATGTTCCCTTCTCCTTCAATGGGACACATCTTCTGGACACTGAACTTCATCTGAGTCTTTGGCACTGAAAGGAAAACACCACATGAATGTCAACAGGAGCAGCACCGGATGAAGTACTTGTGCACGTGGGAGGGGACCCCGTCACCATGAGCTTGTGGCAAGGGAAAGCGTATTTTCAAGGAGAAAATCACATTTTTAGGTGTAATAGTCACGAGTTTAAACTATGTGACAGTTTTCAAGCTAGAAGGGACCTCAGACCATCTACTCTGACCCGTGTCTGGGTTTGTAGGATGTAGACAGAAACCAGGAGTCCTCTGCCAGGGCAGAGACTCTTAAGACATTACTGGATGAAGGACATTACCTCGCCTCCCTCTGCATAGACAGGACCAGGGGAGGCGCTCTCCAGTGGGTAAGGAATAAGTGATGCTACCGTCCTTTAAGGGCCACTTAAAAAGATAGCATCAGTGTCCCTGTAATGACAGGTTTTGGGACGTGAGGGCAAGATGGCTATGACAGCTGCTCCTCCCCTGCTCGGGCTAGTTAGACAGGATAGCCCCTAAGAGTACCCCTCTTCTAGACAGTCTGACCGACAGCGTGTGTGGAAGAGTGTGCAGCTGACGGACGTCACTGCACTAGCCCTCGCTGCCTCTTACTGAATCATGCTGCACGTTTCATTACACAGGATAGGAGCTGAACCCAGTCCCGTCTACTTACCGTTTTTCCAAATTAGAGTAAAACCCAGCTGGTATTCATGCCGGGGCTGGTTTTTAGTTTGCTCGCCAAAGCACCTGAGGAGGTTTTCCGGCACATTCTTGACTGCTGAATGCGTGTGTACAGTGGACAGGACCTTGTAGTGGCTGCAGAGCAGCTGGTGCAGCACGAGCAGGGAGAGGGGAGGCGAGGCGGGGTTTGCGTTGATCACGATGTCTTTCAGAGCCCCATAGTCCTGGGGGAGAAAACCAAACACAGCAGAGGGTAGTAACAGCAATCTGAGTATGTGTTCTTGTACCAGGTGCTATTCTTAGACCCTAACACCCATGTAGAAGGCGCTACCATTATCCCACCACAATTGATGAAATGAGTCCTGGGGAGATGTGTGACTTATCCAAGGTCACTCCACTCAGCGAGCAGTGGAGCTGGGCTGTGAGCTGACACCAACCCCTTGGCCCCTGCACTGCTGGCTCCTGACGAAAAGTTTTTACTTTCAAATTAGTAAAACAACATATTAGGAATGACACTTCTATTTGTCCCCAAGTTAAAAAAATCACCTGCAATTAGAGTTGGCCTTCCGTATCTGTGGGTCTCACACCTACAGATCAACCAACTGGGGATTGAAACTATTTTTGATCCATGGTTGGGAACCCGCAGATGTGGAGGGCCAACTATATGCATTGGTCTGTGTCATTTTATGTAAGGGAGTTGAGCATTTACGGATTTGGAATCAGAGGGTGATCTTAGAACCAGCCCCCACGGATACAGAGGGACAACTACACTCCATTTACCAAATCTTCCTAACACCTCACCCCCTGATAGCATCTAGTTTCCACATCATCAGTTTGTGTGTGTGCTGTCAATGAAGGGTCTCTGGAAAAAGGGTGTTGGCCCAAAATATTACTGGTGATGGGAGGTGGGGGGGGTCTAAAAACCTAGGTGTTAACTAAAGTGTGACAACATCCTGCCTTTTCAGATGCGGACTTTATTTCTATATATTTTTATACACTCACTATAATCACGAGTGAACTTGTAGAACACAATGAAGGCCTGGTTCCTGGCTCTTAACACAGCCTGCCAGTCTGGTCTCTGGTCATGCACGCCTGATGGACACCCATCACGTGAGCTGTGATGAGTACTTTGCAGCTGTCTGAACATAGCGTGTCACTTGATGCTGTGCCTTCTGAGGTATCCAAGTTCATCTGAAGCAGCACATGCTCTGGGAGCCTTCATAGCGCCCTGAACTGGACTGGCTCCCCGTGGGCCTGGTCGGGTCTCACTGGGGCCTTGGTGCACACAAATACACTGGGTGATAAAGGGACATGTATGCAGAGGTACCGAGGTTACCAAAAACAGCCCTGAGAGAGACAGTGTTAACACTGCTTCCAACTTTCAGGTCCTCAAGTGGTACCGTTTCCATTGCCAATTCTAGAGGAGGGCATTTAGCAGGATTCTTGGACAACCCCCTTTGCACCCTCCAATAAATAATACTTTGTAACAAGATGTTCTTTTTTTACCTGTCACATTAGACCCTAAATTAGCTAAAGGCTATAGACTGTTCATTAAAGGTGGCCAATACAACTTAATAAAACTGAATTTAAGCAAATACATTTGAAATACAAGACTGTGACTGGCTCTTAGCGATATATTTCAACAGGATTGGTGGGGTTTTTGTGCCTGGACAGCCAGACCCCTGAAATTCAAGCTGCTCTCAAAGTCAGGGTTGACTGCTGAACCTGAAGAATGAGCGAATGATTTAAGATGTTTGTCCAGGGCCCGGGCTGCTGGAATGCTGCCGGGAATGAGGAGCTGTAATTGGACTCCCTTCTCTGCCTAGAGATCCTCCCTGCTGTTTGGCACTGGGTCTGAGAGGTCAAGAAGCAGCTTTAGAACTTGCCCCAGCTTCCCTCGAGCCCATGAACCTGCTCTGTGCAATGGCACAATCGTGTAAAAACATGCTCTTCGTCTACCTTTGAAAACCAGCAAGCCAAGGCTTCACTCACGGGAGCAGTTTTCCGGCACCAGCAACAACCTGGAGCGCTGATGTTCTCTAGCTTTAAGTGAACTCACCTTTCCAAGTACTGAGTTTAAGTCCAATGCACTGGTCGATACAGCGGTGGGCTCTTCGGCTTGCAGTATGTTGGTTACGTCCAAGTCTGCATCCGGCGTCTGAATCATTTTGGAGAGACCATCGACTGCGGCTTTCAATTCGTACAGATGTTTTAAAATATTGTCTTGGCGGGACTCGAGAGCTTGAAGAGATGGGTCAGACCCTCCCTAAGCAAACCAACACCAGAGTGTTCATTTCCTCCAACATCAAAGCAGTCTGATTAACTTGATCACTTGTCTTCTACTTAGTTCCACAAATTCATTAAACCTCCCACCTTTTAAAAAACAGTAAAACAAAGTAGCATAATCATCTCATTTTCCCCACAGTCCCATAGGTTCTGCAAGTCGATCCACAACTGCTTTAAAACAAAAAACATGACTGAAAGCCACTTTGAAATTATATGACTCTAATTTCAGGTAATTTAGTCTAAGGACAGAGAAGGGGAGAAAATGAATACAAATTGTTCTTTAGTCTTCATATTAAAACACTTAAACCGAGAAAGGTTGGGGGGGGGCAGTGAAAATGTAACACCTTGTACTAATAGAAGGGGAGCACACATAAGTTAAAAAAAAAAAAAAGTCCTTTGGCTTGGAAGTCTGTCCATGAGATCAAACAATCGATTCCCCAAATCATTTGCGCTCGGCAGTACTGGCACTCTCATCTCAGAATTATCTAGAACTTTTCACTGCTGATACGTATAACTTCATAAACATTCTTCATTCACTGAATGCATCTTTCCTGCCTGGTAGGCATAGTGACTGGTACATAAGTTACCAACAATGTTTATAATCTCAAATCAACACTTACCTTATAAAATAGTATCAAGAAACCTCTCAATACAGTCACATTGTGCAACCTATTTCCAGACTGATGAGCTCTCACAATAGACAACCCACTCTGTGTTGAGAAAAAACGTGAGCCAAAGGCTCATAACTAGAACAGTCACAATGTGAGTATAGGAGTATTTATTCATATTTGTGTGCTGCTAAATTGAATTCTTGGGAACATTGTTCCTCCCCTAGTCACTCCTAACACTGCCTTCTCACAGGGGTCAATTCATCACCAGGTGGTGTCAATTTTCTGGAATTCACTTCTAAGCATGCCTGCCTCCACTATCACTGCCTAAGTCCAAGACACTGTTTTTCACCTGGTCTACTTCCACTGGTCACCGTGCACCCATTCTGGCCCATCTGTAAGGTGGCAGCTAGAGAGAGGAAAGCAGAGGCAGATCCTGTCACCTCCTCCTCGGTGCCAACCTCCTGGGCTACAAAGCAAAGCCCTCACCCTGGCTTGATAGATTTGTCGTCTGGCTGCCTCCTCTCACATAATTCTCCCCTGCTCTGCCGCTGGCCACACAGTCCATCGGATTGGATTCCTAAAACACCATGCCCCCAGCGGCCACAGGACTTTCACTCATTCTGTTCCCTCCACCTGCAACATTCCTCCCTCTTCTCTCATCTGCTTAACTCTTCGTTACCTTATAGTTGAATCACCACCTTCCCACCTCTCCTCGCCCGATGGTCTTGTTTAAGATCAAATAGCGAAGAAATATAAGGTGACTGACTTCTGAGTGGAACGAAGAATAAGGAGTTCAATATGCCATTTAAATAAGGCGCTGACCAGTAATCAGTCTGAATGCAAGACAAGTGTGACTGCCTGTGTAACAGCCTCACGTCCCTCACGGATAGTCCTCCCGAGTGCTATTTCCAATCTCCTCCCCAGCCTGTATCTGTGCAGCTTGTGCACAATCTTAACTCATTTCTACAAATGGCAGCAGGGTCCTTGCTGTGTCAGGGTGAAGAAGTATTTACTGGATTCAAAAGCCGTCAATGCACCGAAACCCTAAAGCGAGTGACAGCCTGTGGAAGCGGCCCAGCGCGGCCAGATCTCACCCCTGACCTAAGGGATCAGGAAATGCTCAAATGGGCTTTCCCGATCATCTCTCTTAACCAGGGCCTGTTTTTCTTCCTCGGGCTAGAGTGTGGCTTGGCCTATTGCGTTTACCCGCTTGTTTCATATGCACAGAAGCAGTTTCTTTGTGTTGCTCTCATCCTGCGGGATTTCTGTCTGTCCATCCACCCTGCCATCATCTGCTACAGCAGTGAGACTGTGTGTCGTCTAAGTTCGAACCTTCGGGGAGGGTGCCAGCACCCGGAATTTCACACACTGCCGGGGAGAGCCTGGATCAGCATAACCACTGTGGAAAGCCATTTACTTCGTACTTACTGCTGCAGACAGACAGACCCGCCCGCTGGGTCGGCCATTCCATCCCTAGGCGATGCCCTATGCCTGCCCCTGGGCTAGCACAGTCGCTGCAGAGCGAAGCAGCTTACAGTGGGAAACCAGCCGACACCCGTGAGCAGCGGGATGGACAGACCGCGGGGTGACAGTTACGCGAGGGGACAGCAGACGGCGGAGGGGACGAACGCTCCCTCCCTCCTTTCAGGCGACACAGCGAGTCCCGAAAGCACGGTATCTAGCAGCAGCCGCCAGACACGCCGAGCCGCAAACGGCACGCTCCCGTCCACACCGGACCACGCGGCTTGGGGACGCATGCTGCCGTGGCACGGCGACCGGGAAGCGGGACGCGGCCACGGAGGTCGGGCCCTTGCGGGGAAGTTCCAGGGGCGCACTGACGACGCGTGGGAACCAGGGCGGTGGGGACAGCTGGGCTTGTATTAATCTTAAAAATGGGCGTTCCCATGCTGTTCTCTCTTCCGTGGGTAAAGTTTAAATAGCCGAAAGCGAAAGCAGAGAGGAGACCCAGCCTGGAGGGACCCGGGCCCCGCCGCCCGCAAC